AGCATCCCAGGTGATGCTTTTAGCATCCCAGGTGATGCTTTTAGCATTCCAGGTGATTCTTTTCAGCATCCCAGGTGATGCTTTTAGCATTTCAGGTGAAGCTACTAGAAATCCGGGTGATGCTACTAGCATCCCAGTTGATGCTACTAGCATTCCAGGTAATGCTCACTTTTCTAGACCCTAAGGGGACTAAAGGACTAAGCGGACTATCCAGTGGGGAGGCGCGTCTCCCCACTTAACACACCTTTTATTTCAGCGTCGCGGCGTGGGGGCGCGAAGCGCCCCCCGAAGAGCCGCGAGCCATGCACGTCTCTGTGTACACCATTATTCCTACCCTTAGTCCCCTTAGTCCCTTAGTCCCTTTAGTCCCTTTAGTCCCTTAGTCCCTTTAGTTCCTTAGTCCCTTAGTTCCTTCGTCCCTTAGTTCCTTCGTCCCTTTAGTCCCTTTTGTCCCTTAGTGCGTTTAGTCCCTTAGTCCCTCTGTCTTGGTAAAAATCAGGTGTTTTTTTTTTTTTTCAAAATTCAAATTTAAATAAAAAAACCCATAGACTCGTACAATCGGAGGAAACCCACACACCTCTATCTCAGTCTCGGCGCGTGGTTCCCCGAAGAGCGCCGAACGGCCGCCTTTGGTTTGATAATCTCGACACAAATCCTTAGTTCAATTATAAATTCGAATTTGAATAAAAATTTATCTTTTACTTTTTTGGCCGTAGTTATATGGGTGCCTTATTCGAATTATAAATTCGAATTCGAATAAAAGTTTATCTTTTACTTTTTTGGCCGTAGTTATATGGGTGCCTGATTCGAATTATAAATTCGAATTCGAATTAAAATTTATCTTTTACTTTTTTGGCCGTAGTTATATGGGTGCCTGATTCGAATTATAAATTCGAATTCGAATTATAAATTCGAATTCGAATTAAAATTTATCTTTTACTTTTTTGGCCGTAGTTATATGGGTGCCTTATTCGAATTATCAGTTCAAATTTGAAAAAAAGTTTATCTTTTCCTGCTGCTATGAAAAAGGGGGTGCGCGCCCGAAATTTTCATTTATATTCGAACTCGAATTAGGCAGCTACTCACTAAAGTGGTGCTCTTGTCGTGTCGTGACTAAACAATATTATCTACGAATACAACAAGTCAATGTATGTATATATGAAACTGAAGTCTATATAGATCTCTTTAGTAATAAGCATAGAGAAGATTTTTCTGTGGTTAAGTAGTACCATTTATAATGAAGTGCTATTTTCTTACCATAGTAATTATTTTCTGGCGTCGATAATGTTTAGAGATTCTCGACGAAATGAATGGCAGAAATCAGCTATTATAAAGCGAATCACCTCACAAACTATGTATAGTTATTATTGGCAATCTAACTTGCCGTTTCCACCTTAGAGATAAAACTACTCACAGTTCTATTGTTTAACCATTCGAAGATGTTTGATCTCGTGGAAAACTGAACAAGATATTGCAGGAAAAATAAGTTGTTCATAATTTTTTGGGAAACAGTTCTCGTTCAGTTTAGGGGTGATAGAAATTTTTACAATGAGCGAGTGTCATTGAGAGCTTCCTTTGTGCACAACTTCAAGTCGAAATTCGAAATTTGATTTTCATGGTGACCTGAGGTCATCCTTTTTTTATAAGATGAAATATACATGTTTACCTACTCATCCTGTAATGTATGCACCAGAGATGCCCATGGCGGCGCGGCAGCGGCAGGTTTCTTAAAAACTCATCGCGGCA